GGAAGTGGCTTGGTTATTGGTTGGTTCAAAACGTTTTGCGCTGGAAGTGATGGATAGTTGAAATGAGCCAAGAGCTTAGTCTTGCACAAAGGGGTGCTCATTTCTTTTTCCAATGTGGTAACGAACCTGAATGGAGCGTTTCAACTACCATCAAGTGCAGAGCATCAGGCCTTGATACTAACTCTAATATGTACTTTTAAAATAATTCCAAGCCAGTTCGAAATGTTGTGATACGTGCTCACAAGCCCCCTACTCTCCCTCCCTCTGAGGCTTGAGGACCTAAAGGGGAGGAGTATCTATCATTCATCCATCACTCCATTTGTTGTTCGAACTTCCCGATCTTCTACGTTCTGGTAGCGTGGCTCAAGGTTACATCAGTGACTGCGTGAAAAAATTATCTCAAATTTCCAGTCATTTTATGCCACAATCAATTATAGAATTAATTGATTTTCCTCACATTCGGTTTTCCCTCAATTCATCAAGGATTCATAGCTTGGCATATGTGCTCTGGGATCTTCATTAAGTCTTGTTATAAGGAACAATAACAACAGTACGTGTTCCTTTCTGATGCTTGATCATAAGACATTCCAATCTGCCGAAGAGGAGACAGTCCTCTCCTCTGGCCCCCCTTCCTCCCTCTCCTCACTTCCCCTACCGCCCCCTTTCCCTCCCCCTTCCTCCCTTCCCCTACCGCCCCCTTTCCCTCCCCCTTCCTCCCTCTCCTCCCTTCTCTTTCCCCGCTCAACCAAGTTGCACCTGTGCTGTCTGAGTCATGAAGATGATGTTCCTTCCTGAAAACGCCTTTCTATTTCAGCTCCTGGGCATTAAGCACTAAATAATACTTAAACGATGTCATTACTCGAACGAATTCAATGCATTGGCGTCGTGACGGGCTTCAAGGGACGAATAGGCTTGGAATCAGTTAATCGCTACCGTTGCATTCACAATATAAACGCTGCAATTTCATGCCGTAATTCTTGAATCACGTCCCATTCGATCACTTGCCCTAAAATCACCTAACAATAACATGCTTCCACTTCTTCGCCCCTCGGGGTATGTCTGTGTCTTGCAAAGGAAGATATTACTACTTTCAACCGGTAAATGTCCGCTCTTACCCGGAAACTCACAACATTTACTCAGTACGTGGGTTAATCTCTTCCCAAGAGACTCCTCAATAAGATTGAAATGATTGAAATTGAAGAGTCTCTTGGGTTCTTTCATATAATGCAAGTCATTTTCAACATCTCTCATATAAAAATAAATTATTTCTGTTAACTTGTTGTAGCGGAGGATTTTAACGAGCCTCTTTACCGATTAATCCACATAAGATAGATTCACATTAATTAACTCGGAATTTGCTCTGGATTTCTTCAGTGCTGCCTCTCAAACTGGCAGGCGTAGTCTTGTCAATCAGAAGGCACCCGGAAACTCCGCCCGTTTTCAAATTACTATTTATTTTCGATAGTCAGGGATAGCATTTCCTTGCCATCAGAGATTTGGATGAAAGTTTGTCAGAGAAATATCGGTCTATAAATACTGTATCGTGAAAGTGGCTTCCGTAAGAGCCGTCACAGAAATTTAAAAAAAATAAATAAATATATATATAGAGGGGGGGGGGCATAACCAGTAAATGAATTAAATCCAAAGAAGTCCAACGTCAAAATACCTCTGTGCTCCTGTGTCCCAATGCCCCTGTGCCACGCCACACAGCTGGGAGTCCTTGCCTTTTTCGTAATTCAGAAGCGTGAAACTACGACCGCGAAAACCCGAATTCTCTTTCTGAGAGGAGCAGCTCTCCTAATGCTTACAATTTTACCTGAAATTTTACTGACATAAGTTTGGCATCAATATTTTATTCCGATAGTTTAATTCAACTTCCTATGATAACTTTGACGTGATGGATTCTACTGTACAGGCTGTACTGTACAGAATGAGCACATTCAAGGTCATCATTTCGCATGTGACGAAACGGGACGAGATTAAAGAGTGAGGTGATGCAACGCCTGGGTTTCAATTGTCAGTGATTAATTAGCACGCGAGTAACTGACCCCTCACCCTTTCAGGAGGGAGTTGATTCTGCATTCAGGTCCATGCAGTCGGGAAGCGATCCCCTTCGCAAGCTGATGGGTGACGCCAGCAGCTCCCCCCACCGGGCATGTCCTCCATTTGTCTAACCTTCTCCATTCTTCGAGTTTCGCTGGGCTGCAATGCATGGTTTTCGTGCTCGAGTCCCATACAACCGTAAACCCAATTTTAAAAAAAAAGAAGAAACCTTGGACTCTTGAAGAAGAGAAGGAAATCTTCAAGCAAATATTTTAAACTTCTCTTCGATTACTTTCAAGAAAAAGTGAAATGATCCATAGGAGAGTTTCCTCATCGCGACTAGGCTAACCGCTCTACCGTGCATGGTTCCCATATCCATTTAGAAGCGACTGCTGAAATATATCAGAAAAGCTAAATGGTTGGGCAGCACTTCGTTTCCATGACTATAAATGATGTCGTGACGTGGGTGTGACCTAATAGAGCATATTCGCTGGCACCCTGAGTAAATTGAGATCGCTTATCTTCAACAGAGGCCTAAAAGCGGCCGAAGGCATTCATTCGTGAATTTTGACATCGCTGGAATCGTTAACATGAGTCTTGATGGATAAGGTAATTAGTCATTTCGTCACCTTGTGATAATCCTGAATGGAAAAGCGATTGACGTGCTCACTCTCCTGTCACATGCAGTTCTCGCTGCAATCCTCATTCCATCTTCTGTGCTTTCAAAATGTCATGATACGAAGATGAATCAGCTAAAGTTGAGGGTGAGAGGAGGAAGGAGGAAGAGGGGGAGGGGAGGTGGCTATTTTCCGACAAGGACATTGTTGGGGATCGTGTCCCTTTGCCCTCGAGGGTACGGCGTCAATCACTTTCAGTACTTGCTCTATCGTAGGCGTATCTAAATGACGGCGCCACATGGCGGAGGAGTCGAGACATACCTCATTAACTGAGATTCAGTGCTCCACCAAAAAGGTTTTTTATTATTTCCATTTCCAACTCACTACGTGAAACCTCCATAAATAAATTCGCAAAGTAAGTTGATGCCTTGTTCAAGTTGGTCAGATTGTTGTTGCTTATGGCAACCAAAAAATTTTTTTAATGCAAGTACTTTCTAGTCCTTCCAACACTTGTTTACTCTTAGATACCCCTGACTTGTCAAATCATCGCTGCTTTATTCAGGTTATTCGAAGCTTTGGCAGAGGGAGGAGGAGGGGGGGAGCTTCAGGCGTTTTAGCCCCCCCCCTTAGGCCGTCCTGTTGGAAAATGTCACATTCCTAATTCTAGTTGTGAGAATTTCTGACAATTTTGAAGGCTTCTATTAGTTTCCTACCGTACAGATCAAGGAATAAGGTCACAAGATGCTTGAGTCCCCTCCATTTGCGTACGTCAGTGCTGCCAGAACAGATTACTGGAGACAACCAAAAGGAAGAAAGACCACCCAAGCCAAGGCAATTCGGCTGGCACTTCACTTGTCACAGAGTAAAATTTATTTTATTCTGTAGCTGATGTCCATTAGCTCTTTTACTCTCAGAGTAAAAGGGCTAATGGGCATCAGTCCATTAGTCCTTTTAGGAGAGCTAGGGTGAACAGACTTAAAAAATGGTGGACAGCCAATGGCGGCCGGTGAGAATAATTTGTGCAGCAGCAAACTCGCGACGAGATTGGTTGGAGCGGGGGGGATGGAGTACAGTGTGTCTAAAATAAAACGTGACTTAAAAAAAAATTATCCACTAATATTGTGCGAGTCTTTTTTTTTTTTACTGCTCATGACATGAACAAGAAAGATTTATGATAAATGTGAAAAAAATTTTTTTCCAGTGCATTCAAGGTAAGAACTTTCAAGGTTGACAAATCAAAAATCGCAGTGAAGAAGTAATCGACTCGCATTGCTCCTCACCAAGTACCTCATTTCAACGGGTATGGATCACGCAGATGCCAGGTGGTCTCTGAGATAACTTGCTCTGCCATAAATTCTTCTTATCGTGTGATATTATGAGTTTATTGTATGCTTTAAATTACTGTCTATTCGTCAAGATATCTACAAATGTCGTGGGAGTCTCATGGGTTTTTTATTTTTAGCATCTCAAATGAAAGGTAAGTTAGGTCTTTGGCCTACAGAAAAAAAATATTTAAAAATGCAACCAAAGCATTCGCCGTGAGCCAGTAGACAAGAGGTGTAAAAAAGTAATATTAAAAAATAAAAAAACAATAACAACCATAACAAACCTTTCTTCGGGGCGGAGATATGGAATGGAAATAGTAATAAAAACTGGCTCCCTCATTTGCAAAACCCATAAACCGGCAGAGTTGAGCCAGTTTACGAATAAACTCGCTACGAGGGGGATGGGGTAGTATAAAAAAAACTCAGGCCTAAAAAATTTAACGTTCGGGCCGCCATCGACCCCAAGGCTTCACTGTGCGCATTCTTGCTCTAAAGCAGCCTGCTTACTTGTGAATTGCGTACTTACTCATACTTTCCATTCGTGCTGAGTCCTAGATGCTATACTGAATTACACATCCATGTGCCAGGAGTTCACGCACATCTCTTTTGCTAGGATCCTTCCAGGACCTCACTGCAAGTACTTTTCAGCATTGTCAGTAGGCAAGCACTATCAGAAAATCTGACCTGACAAGACGAGTCCATTGGTGCAATATTTTTTTAATTAAATCAGAAATGAGATCTTTTCGTATTTTCATTATTTGCTCGGTCCTGGATATCCCCAGAAGGAATCCCCAGATGGAAGACCGTCATGACGTGAGGACTAGGTGTATCCCACATCCGAAGACTCCGTAAATGCTTCGATTGTTTCTTTCACTTCCCTCAGTACTAATCAGTTCTGTCCGAGCTATAATCTTCAAGTGCCAAAATGCACGTTGTTGTCTTAAGGGCAACCCATCGGTACCTCATTTGTACGAAGCTGCCAATTAATATCTCATTTGTGCAAATGTGCAGCATTTCAATCTGATCCGGCTTCAAATTCAAAGATGAATGTTGGAGTAACGCTGATTCTGGACACCTTTGCAACAAAATCACCATATCCTGTGCAATCGAACTGAACCTGAACAGTGGGAAAATCAGTAGTATGAAATATATCTGAGTTCTATATGAGTTCATCAGGAGACTTGAACCGAGTTCATTCTTGCTTGTTGGGGAACACCTCTTGCCCGTGCAATCCCAAAGTTATGAAAATGAGTGCTATGGAGAAATCGAATCAGGGAGGAGGAAAGGCAATGGAAGGAAAGAAAGAGCCCAAGAGAAGATTCAACATTTATTTCTCTTTCCAAGATAAACTGCTCAATTAGTATGCCAAGGCTTCCATCCGATTGACTAAGCAAATGTGAGGTAAACGTCACACAATGTTTGTCTCACCTCTTCATAGGCACTTTTTCACAGGAGAAATATGAAGAGAAAGACCTAGAAAATGCCTGGACCAAAATCCTGGGTTATGTACATTATAGCACCGTCTGAATTCACACACAAATACAGGTTTATCAGAGCGGGAGAATCTTCAAAAGACATCGAGACACAGTATATTCAACGTTCATTAGTTTGATAAAAGTCCAGTAAGAAGGTGAGAGGAAGGAACCTTCAATCAATGAGTAGGAATAGGAATCACTGTCTCCAACAGCGCGGAAGAGAGGAAAATCTCAGATTCACTTCATCTCGCAGAATACGGCATTTTCTCAACACGGATGGGCTCTCCGAGTAGTAAGAAAAAAAGCAGCACAAAAGCACTAACTTAGAAGAAAGGCAATCACATGTGAACTCCAAGGAGTGTGTACGTATTTTCATGACTCGATGCGATGCACTAGCGAGAGCTCTTCGTGCGTGCATACAATATCAATAGCGTCAGACACGGACAGCAGATAAGCGCTTCTACATATATAGAAGAATTTCTTATTTCTTTGGACACTCTGCCCAGCTCTAAGCGTATGACCATGGAGTCCCCCAGGGCTCATAATATGGCTTGGGATTTCACCAGAGGGGAATCCGTCAACATGACTTTAGTGACGAAATTCACAATTGCAGTGGCAGGCTGCTGAGGTTCGTATTCCGCAAACAGGTGACACTGATTGGAACTTCGACTTCCTGGCTTCCGGGCCACAAACCCAAAACACCGACTGAAAACCACATCAGGGAAAACATCTCGTAAATATGAGTTCGAATAAAAATACATGGGGAGGGGAGATATACATAGGGTGACATACACTAAATCCGTTTACCTTCAAACTGATTTCATAGTGGGCGTCTATGAGAATAAGACTATCTCCATCAAACCGATTCTTATAGGTGACCATTATAAAATCAGATTAGTTTAGGTTTGACAGATCTGGTGTGGCACTCATAAATTCGCCATAATTTCATATTTGGGACTCAATGTCTAGCACATGTCCATAAAGTTGCCTCGGATTTTCAAAGTTTTGTTGTTTTCCTAGTATTCGACATTCAAAAGAGGAAATTGGTAGGTATGACGTGCACATATGAGGGTTGCTTTTTTTTTCAAACAAAATTTAAAATGTAAAAATAATGCATGATGTATTTTAAAATATATATGTAAAAAATCCAAGTTGAGGAGAATGACTGATCGGCCTATGAAAAATCCTGAAACAAGAACATTCTCGTGATTCTCCTAGAGTGAGCGTGTGGAGCTGCATTATGCAGCACATCGTTTCATTGGTCTTGATTACAGGGTGTGACAGATGGATGCACCCCGTCCCCCCTCAACAGGGAAATTATGCCGAAGAGGAAAGCAATATATACAGGGTGTCCATAAAGTGACTACCTATGGGCAACTTTTTTCTTCCTGAATCTATGGGAACTAAATTTTTTATTTTTGTAGGCTGTTTATCATTAGACCTCGGAATGGTGTCACATCTTTCGTTTCTACACTCTATTGTCACTGAAAATTAATTTATCAAACCCTTGTTTCAATTACAAGTTCAGACATATGGAGTGTAGAATTCCGAATTGTCGCCCAGGGCCAATGACCTCCTCGATCTCCGGATTGTGATTTTTTGTTTATCTCTGCGGCTACATAAAAGGCATTGTTTATATAAGCACAAGCATACCGATCTGAACAACTTGAAAGCGAACAAGTCTTATCTCTAGTGCCACTTGCCAGAAAAGTGATGTAATTCTTATGGAAGGAACAATACAATTGCCAGGGCTCAGAAATGTCAGTAAATCAGTGGTCAGTAAATTGAGCCAATTTGTCGAGTAAATTCCTAATTTTTATGATTTTGAATTCCCAAAACGCTCTATTATTCAATCAATACCGTGATAACTGCAAGAAGTTGTTGCGATAGCCTCGAACGGCAAAAATTTCCTCGAATCGTTGCCTGAATTTCTTTTCCATTCAAATGAATAAAAAATTATTAAACACCAGATGTGGGAAATTAATTCTTGGCCGTGCCAAAGTGGAAGGAGAAAAGATCTGACACTATTCCGAGGTCGGTAAGTTGTCAGTCTACAAAAGTTTTTAAAAAATGGCTACTTCAGGGTCTATAATAAAAAAAGTCACCCATAGGTAGTCCCTTTATGGACAACCTGTATTTTGATCTCTCATTCAATTTATGTTCTAATGAAGAGTTTTGTTCCCTTCCAAGTGACTTATGATAATGAAAAAAAAACAGATTTATTGATTGCATAAGAGCGATCACATTTCGTGAAGCTCGTGATCCTGGTAAAAATTCCGTTTCACGATCGTGGATAGCTAAAAAGCTCAACAGATCTGAAACTTTTGTCAAGATAAATTGGAATCAGAACCTTTGAATGGGAAATGTGTACAAGCGAAATAGAAAAGGGAGAAATCAGTCTCTATCAGGAGTCCAGAGACATCCTCGAGGCATCTACTGGAAGCTGAATAAAAGTGTACGTTCTTTGGTATTTCAGTTGGAAAGAGAATGGGGAAAGAAGCTCAGTTGCGCTACTGTTCATCGAGAATTCCAGAAACAGGGATTAAAGCCTTATCATGTCATCAAGAACCCCAGGATTTCAAACATCAAACTTAGAAGGCAAATGGTGGTTTTGTGATTTCTTATCTGAATGGGACGAGGGGGATTTCATTCATCTTACCCCATCAAATGAATTTTTCATTTGGACTGTGCGCCACCCAAAGCATCAGTGACCGAATTTGGTCAAGAAGCTTTGAGGAAACGGAAGATTCCCAACGCGATCATGAAGTTTCTCAACATCCAAAATACGTTGGAATCTTCACTTGCTTCATGGCAAAGAAAATGATCTAGACGATCAGAGAGCATGGCCAACCTTAGGATGGTACATATTTTCGGGTGTCAGTTCTTTAGAATATTGTCATTCCCTTCTTGACAGATGAAGTTAATGTTGCCTGTAGCAGATGTGACTTTTCTTCACGAAGAAGCCCCTCGTTTTGAAACTCATAAGTAGTTGAGAGATTCAAAAAGGGGCTTTTCCAGTAATAATGAATGGCCTGGAAACTCCCCAGACCTCAACGCCACAGAAAATTAGGACGCCATTATCAAAGAACGTGTTGTTCTCATGCTCAAGGAAGAAGACTGATACTCATTAAAAACTCGACCAATGTCACCAAAGTGTTGGAAGACACGAAAGAGGATTCCGACCTTTAGGAGTGCCTCATCCTCCTGAACTTCAAGTCCTCCTGCCCGATTCTTCGAAGAGGACCAAGTGAAAATCTAAATTAACTGAGCAACTCATTTTTTTATAGTTATTATTTCGTTTATCATTAATTGAAACAAAGCTGATCTAAACTATCTGGAAGAAAATGCCACACGAAAAAATGAATTTCAATGGAATAGAAGTTCGATGTGGTCTGGATGATATGCAAGCAAAGTACATTCCATCAGCAGAAGCTCCTGTCCATTTTCATTATCCAACTTTAAAAAAAAAAAATAATTGCTCATAGCCATGCATCGGAATAATGAATTTGGAAGAAATTCATTATTCGCAGATATTTTGGAAACATATAGCTAGCTCTATGTAAAATCAAAGTCTCGTGAAAGCAGCTCGAGTGGGAATGGAGATATATCGGTTAAAAGTTGTTGGCCTTTTTTTGTCATACCAAAATATATGGCAAAACATATGAGTGAGTGAGAACTAGAGAAAGAGAGAGAGAGGGAGAGGGGACGAAATGGGTGACGTCCAAGCAGTAGAATTTACTCACTTTGAAGAAATAGGAAGTCCAGTTTTAGGATCTTTCTCATTCCATCTGCGATCATCAGGATCCAAGCCACAGTAAGAAATCGTTTCCACACCATAGTGCCTCCTGCAGACAAAGAATAAGTTTTGAAATAAAGTATGGGAATTCATTCCAATAAAGCCCATTTAAATCTGCCATGCTCCTTCCTCTACCGTCCTCGAGGCCCTTAGATACATGATGTAAGGATTTCGGATAGAACCAGTGGAAGGAAAGTGACTGGAAGGCGTTGAGACGAACCTGAAGAAGACTTTACGTTCGTTATCAGTGAGGGTGATACCCTGGGAAGAGGCCTTGAAATGCACTACAGTGGCAGTGGGCGTTGTCTTCTGTGCCATAAGGATCCCCATGCATTTTCGGATGGCTTGAGGTCCTGTCAGGCTTTCCGTGTCCACCGTGAACAGATAGAGAACATTGCATGCTGCAGAGACAGAAAACGGGCGATGCGATCCATCAGCAGTATACTCACGACATAACATCTCGCACAAAAAGGAGCTTTCTCTTTCTTTTTCGCTTACCTGCTCCTTGCACGAGGAGCTGTGCAGGTGATTCGATCTGCACGGCCTGGGATGTGACACAGGCAGGATCAGACGACGGCAGGAGAAGCTTGCAGGGCAATGCCAATGGAGTCAGCGAATGTTGGTATACCAAAGCTGACAGGGATCCTGAAAGAGAGACAGGGGTTGTAAGAGAAAGAGTATGAAGTAGAGAAGAGAACGAGCTTTGAAGATCCATTTGAGAAGTCGTCCTACCGAAGACGGGTTCATTGGGACAGCCCTTGATTCGTACTCCCTTCGAAGTGGTTTCGATGAGAAAATGCCGAACGAGCTCGTTCGAGATATCACCGGAATTGATTTTGGAGGGAGACATGTTGACTGGGGGTGCAGCCACTTTCAATGCTAGTCCATATGCTCCGGGATAAGAATAAGAGTCTCGAACCACGAATGTACCTGGTGACTTATCTTTCAACATCCCAATAGCTGCAGGCGTGACCAAAACAATCGTGTCATAGTAGCAACGGCCTTCGGGGTCCATAAGCAACTTTACAATTACCATCGTGATAGATCCAGCTTACCTTCTTCTCGAGAGATGGAGGGTTTGTACCAGAAACGAGAATTGTCGCTGACAAAAACAGGGTGATGAGAGATGACATCATGATGAGGGGAATCTGTGAGAGAGAGAAGAGAGGACCTCGTGGACTGGCCATGGTAGAGAGACGGGGAAACGTGACCGTTGAGAGTCTCCGCTTGTGTCAGGAGACCCTGTCCTTGTTGGGACTTTCCCTGGGCTGGCGATGGAGAGCGGTCCTTGCTGCACCAAAAGTAAGAATCAACATCGAGCTGAAACTCAGTTCAAACCACTCAACATTTTCAAGTAGGGTTGCCACCTGTTCTTAGTATGGACAGTACATATTTCAGATGCAATGTCCATACTGCAAACTGGTCCGAATGTGGACACTGTTTTGTCCATATTTTAAACTTTATAATATTTTTTTTTTCCTTAATAAAGCTTAATAGCAGCCAATATCGTTATTTTCCGTAAGTCAAAAGCAGTAGGCCACACTCACAGTATCGATAGGCGCCTTGTCTTAAGGTGGCTATGGGCATATTTCGAATATTCGTCCATATTTTGTTAAATTCAAAGGTGGCAGCCCAATTTCCAAGACGTTAGTTATCAGTATTGGTCACATCATGGCTCATCCAGATCTCTTAAAATTATGGGATGTGAACATGTGGTTATATCAACACAAGATCTGTGATCTAAGATCTAAGATCTGCGTGGGCGATATTTTGGAAAGGTTCTGAACGGGATGAAGGAAATCATCACTCATCCACCAAGCTCGAATGAGAGAAGCATGGAGTTGCACAAGGTGAGAAAAGCAACAAGAAAGATGAGTGTGAGAAGGAAAACGTGGGAGAGAAGAGAAGCAAATGAAAAGCAGACAGCTGAATTCTGAATTCCTGTCCGTCCCAGATCCACTCACCTAGAAAGAGAGGAATTAGAGCCCCACTTGATAGGTTTCTTAGAGTCGCTGCGCACCACGCTACCTGAACCAAGGTAGCGGCTGATGGGAAACATAAACAACGGCGCAGAAAGAAAGAGAAAGACAAAAGCATTCAGTCTCACACTAACACCATAGCATAGAGCAGAGAAAGTGAGGACTACATTTAACGTATACGTAAACAATTCAAATTTCAAATTTTCATTTGAAGGATCAAGGTTGCCGGATTAGCCTGTTCATTTTTTTTTTAAAGAAGAGTTTATAACTGAAAAGTTGCGCTGGGTCTACGTTAAGATCTCAAGGCATTGAGTGACGGTCGTAGGCATTTCATGCGATACTGAGCTTCAGTAATGCGCAATATCACTATTGGACAGCAGCAGGGATGTTGGAGAATGTGCAATATCAGCCAATGGAGCATGGTGAGGACGAAAGTTCGAATAAAAAATCCCTTTCATCAAGAAGCTGAATGAGATGCAGCAGAGGGATGGCAATAGTGAAATCAAAGAAAAAAGAGATCTTACACGCTTTTTCCCATCGTTGAGAAGCATTAATGCTAAAGAAATAAATTGATGTAAATAAAATTGAGCAAGAATATTCGGCTAAGTAGTTATGGACAAACAGAGCCAAATGCGCATTGATTCATCCTCACTTTTTTTGCGTAACAAAAAAAAAGAACGAAAGGTCTGCTGAGACATACACACACGATAAAGCGGCAGATGACTCATGAGGATGCAAGAGTAATAGGGCTGGTGCTTACCGCGAGGATGTAGGACTCTTGGGTGGAAGCCCAGCTGCAGTCTCTGAATGACTCGAGTTCACGTACGGTGTACGTGGAGAGTTCTGGACAGGGAATCCTGGTGTCACCGGGCGAGATCCCCCCTCTTCCAAGTCCTGTTCATAAACGACACAAAATCACAATCCTTTGTCCAACCGGTTATAAAGCATTCTCGGCTCGAATTTCCCTGCCAAACGCTTCAGTGTTATTCCTCAAAGCCATGCCATCAGAGGTCAAGCCCTCAGATTGTCAATCGAGCACGGCGATGATATATCAACCATAGCAAGCGAGAAATTTAGTTGGCAAGCACGCACGTTTCACTCTGGTACCAAAAATTTGAAATTGAAAATTAATAAAGCTCAGAGAGAGTAATCGCAGATTTTTTTAATATGCTGAATTCCACACATCCCACATGAAAGCAGTTAATGATAATGACTAAACGGAAAACAGGGGCTGCACTTCACCAGTACCAGTGCATGCGTTAGAACAAAAAGAAGTGAAATGGGGTGAAGACTTGGAGCAGCATGCGGAAAAGTAGTGAGGGAAAGTACAGTCAAAGGAGAGAAGATGGCACTGACCGCGCCTGAGGCATAGCCACGAGAGACAACGGCGAGTAAACCAGAAGGCGAGTGTTCCACCCCTGCCTCCAATTCACTTTTATGTTCTTTGCCACCTCTCTCTTGCTGAAATCCATACAACACACAACCCCTCTACACGAAGAGCCTATCGATATTCGATGCCGAAGTCATCCACAGGGAGTGTTTCACAAAGGAGAAGTCCCAGTAGATGAATATTCAACTCATACAAATCGCAATCAATCTCAAGAGAAAACTGAGACTTGCTATGCCAATCCCGGTGCATTTAGACGCAAGATTACTGCGATTACGGAGAGAACCCTAATTTCCATCTACATCCGGAGGACTTTCCAAATTTACACACGAGTAACAGAAGCAAAAGGAGGCGATGACTGACCTCAATGTATCTCTTGGACTCCTCGTGCGCCCGCTTGACGCTGACGAAAGGCCGATCTCTATCGAAAGAAGTGTCGGATTTATTCCTCTGGAGTTGGTAATGTGCCGTACGCTGGCGAGAGGAGCTTCGAGTCGGAGTGCTGAGAAGAGGAGATCCATAGGTAGAGGATCCTCCATTCTCGGGCACACTTCCTGGGTGTGCACCGGGAGATGATGATGATGATGATGACGTGTGGACGTGCAACGGAGTAGACAGATCCTGAACCATCCCCGTGTCGAGCATTCGTTTGTTTTGTACACTCTTCAATTCACTCATGAGTCGCTCTTCGTGGGGAGACCGCGCCATTCGAAGTCGAGCTTCTTGCCTCTCTCGGAGCTTCGTTTGTTGCGACTGTAACCACGTGGAGCCCCCGGGTGATGAAGGACGGCTGCAATCAGAGACAATGTAATTGCCGTCATTACCAACCACGTCCCATTCATCGCCTCACAGGGCGGAAACCATCTGCATTCCCAATCCCCGTCGATTACACGTTATCGGCTTTCACCACCCGACTCTTAGGCGTCCACTTAATCATTCCAGCCAGTAACGAGCACTGAATGCACGAGAATAATCTAATAATATTGTAGATTTCCCCATCTAATCATTCTTCCGCAATTCCCCCATTTAAGAGCGAACACTTCTCGATAGGCCTACACTGTAGTTAGTGAAAAACGGTTTGTCTTCCGAACCCCACTTTATCTTCCCCTTTAATGCGTTGTGGTGTAAATGCGATCAATAGCATTCGTCACTTAAAAGCTAGAGGAAGGATCTGCGTCGTGAAGGGAAGCATCCGAAGATGGGAATGAGAAAGAAGAGCAAGGAGTTGGTAATGAAAGCAGGGGTCAGACAGGATACATTCCACGAGATCCTGTTCAACGGGATGAGATGGATATTCAATTGGTATTCGTCGGTCATTCATCACTGCTCCGACAAGCGGACTGGCCATAAAAGAGTAAGGCCCGCCTGTGCTGCTTGTGACTCACTCGTCCCAGTCGCATTCCGAGATCCCGCTGATTAAAATCACCTCTAAAAACATACCAGGCCAGGACCCGCCTATATTGTGATCCAACGATAATCGTCTGAGGTCAGAGAAGCCATCAAAAGTCCGATGACCCATGCCACTACATCTAGTCAAACTAGGCCTGTACAGTTCTCTCTCTTGCTGCACGTGACTCTTAAAGGGGATCTTTTTTATTTCGAAGAGCTTCCTGGCTCGTGAACGCAAGGTAGGGGTACCAGCGTAATGTTTAGCAAGCAGGTGTGGATAGGGATTAGGCCATTGTGTACAGGACGGGGCCTCGTCCTTTAGCATGCACCATCACGGCCGGAGGGCTATTCAAAATTCACTCCCTTGTCGGAATGAATTTCATGGCTCAAAGTTCGTCGCTGAAGTCGGGCACTCCATGAATAATCTACTAAGGCTTTTGCCCTCTCTCTCTTTCCTTCTACTGACGTTGGGAGATTGCTCTGAATCCGAGATGTGACTCTCAGACCTGCCTCACTCTTGCGAAAACTGAATCATGACATCACAGAAAAGGTGCCGAGGCGCCTCTTCTCTTTCTCTTGAAAGGGAAAGAGGGGAGAATCCCACACTCAAAGTGAATTTTTTTATGACGCAATAGGCACGTACCAATACTCGGACTTGTTTCCAATGATCCAGGGAGGTTTATCTAGGCACCTTAAGCGGAGTATGTCGAGAAAGAGCGCTGTATTTTAGTAGAAGTGTGAACGCAACAGTTGCTCGCGACGGGAAGGGGAAAAAAAGTAGCCGGGGACACGAGGAGCAACAGGGCAGTTCAAAAATAGCACCAGGAAGATGACACTCGCTCTCTGACGGATGGTTGGAAGAATGACAAGGAGAGCTTCAAGGGATCCGGGAATGACTAAAGAAGGCCAGACCCATCTAACAGACCAAGGCGATTGGCCTCTGAGATCGAGTGGGAGAAGCATTCCGCGCCAACGCCCTTCAGACCTCAAGTTCCAGTTTTCAACCTTTTTACTCCCCACTCCCTCGAAGGGCTCATAAAAAGGGGCACGCGGGGTCCGGTGACCGACAGAGAGAGAGGGAAAGGGGAAAGTATTTCCACCTACCTGAATACTTCGGGCCCATAGGTGAAATCTCTGTGGTAAGTCGGGGTTCCCCTGAAGGACAGACTAGATTGAAGGGGTTTCTTGTACTCATAAGGCGACCCTGTGCCACTGCTCCACGTTTTGCTGGATTCTCTATCTCTGTCTCGGAAGCTCGCACTTCGAGATACGAATCCAGGAGACTCTAATACGGAGTAGCTGTTGACTGGGGATTGAGGAGCTGATAGTTTTCTCACGAGCCGCGGGCTTTCCAAGCCCGGCTCCAGGGCTTCTTTCTTCATCATCACGGTGTTCGATGACGACAAGCTTCGATTCTGAGCTGCTCTTCTTTGAAAACTCGGGCTACTCGTCACCGGCCCGTAGCTGAAGGGTTTGCTATCACCTCTCGTGTGGTATGGGGTATCGCAATCATCCAATCCATCTACGGTCGTGTTGAGTGTATCATCAAGGCAAGAGTCTGATGCCTTGCTTACTGATGAAGCATATCCATTCGTGATGGGTGGAGAGGAAGGAGGAGCTGGACCTAGGGACGGAGGATAACCAGAGCTCACACTCAACGAACGATGTGACGTTACTCCATTCCACGCGAGCGGGCTTTTCGAATGCTCGAAATCAAAGTCCGTCCGAATGCTATTGATATCCACATCTCTACCTTGGCCAGGTTTCAGGTCAGGAATGTTCTCCACCGTTTCCAGCATCCCCTGCAGGAGTTCATCCAGTTCGGCTGGATCACCCGGTCCAGGGCGGCCATCTCTCGGCACTGGGTGCACTTCCACAGTCGTTTTCAGTGTGTGGAAACTTCTTTCTGACACTTCCGGAAATTGCAGGTCACTTTGCACTGTACTCAGGAAACTTTCTGCCGTATGAGGAGGTGAAGCAGAGCTTCCACTCAAATGTCCGTCTTTTGGCCCACTCGAAGAGGATATTCCCGAGTCCATGGAGACCGTATGTCCTTCTTCCCCTTCAATGATCAAATCATTTGGGCTCAGCTTCTTTTTATTCACTGTGGCATAAAGGGAGCCGTCGATGGGGCCCTGTGTATGAAGGACTCCTGGTTCCTGTTGGGGATTCGTCGTCTTGCTCGTTTGGACATCTGAAAGAAAAAGGAAATGAAAAAATAATAATAATAAGGCAGTTTTACCAGTAGACGAGGGTGAGACAGGGGCGAGGACGAAAAGACGTAAGACCTAACCAGGGGAGACTGAAGAAAGAGAACGAAGATGGGGAGTAGGAGTAGGAGGAGGAGGAGGAGGAGGAGGAGTGAAGGAGAGCGCGCAATGCCGCACTGCTGCTGTGCCGTGCCATGTCAGCCTGCCCGAGCCTTTGCCACAGCCACAGTCACAGCCTTAGCGCGCTCTCTCTCTCTCTCTCCCCCCCCCCCCCCCTCTCCGCTAGCCTACACCTCGCTGGACGGACGCCAATAGCCCAAAAAAGAACACCTGTTCCTTTTAGCTCTTATTACGTCACTGATTCTTCACAGTTACAGTTACATACAGGCATGAAACGAGAGTGAGTAGTAGCATGGGTTATGTGGGCAAAGGGCGAAACGAGAGATCAAGTTTCACATGACCTGTTAATCGGTTATTTCTTGCTGGCTCGTGCCCGTCTAGTTGGACAAAAAAAAGACCCCCCACCCCTCTTGTGCTTGGGGCCGCCAATCTGGCGCCTCGCCCGAGAGGATAATTCGCACTTGCCAAAAATGGAAGGCGGACTTCAGTCCACTCTTCTCCACTATACCGACCCTAAAGACTACGCGCCGGGATTCCCAACCATTCTAAGATGTAATGAGTCTTTGTGAGTCCTGGGAATTGCATTTTCACTTCCTGAAAGCTGTTCACGAAGGGAGAGCATGAATGGATAGATGGAACGCTTCGCATTGTTTCCTGCTCAAGCAGACAAGGAGATTGACGTCGGACCGAAATTCTTCACTAAAGGTGCGTTCCCGTTGTGTCAAGCAAGCATGGCCGTATAGGGACCGCAAGAAGCGTAAGGTCTTGTGCTTCGAATCCCAATATTTGTCCTCACCAGGGAGACAGGCATGTGCTTGCGTAGCTGTACCTTGCACACATTGACAAGTGGAATGTCTTCATTCTCTTCACCACCTTTCTTATACCAGTCTAACTCCATGCCATTCTTTAACTATTACAGCCATCCCCTAACAACTAACGATACTTGAAAGTAATCGAAAGGTTCCTTTTTTTCATGGGAACTCTCCCACAAGCCGAGCGGAACATTTCAATCTCGGCAGGGGGGCCATAATCACCCATGGAGTAAAGCACTCCCCTATTAAACTAACCTATTAAATTAATGTGCGGTTACCTGACAGTTTCAAATGCATTTAATTACCAACCCCAGCGGAGTCTCTCTAGAATGAAGCATAAACAACACGGCTGGGGGAAGTTTTTTTGGACCATCAGTCAAGCGGAGGGGGGAAAAATTCATGGGGGAGCCTCACGAACGTCAGGAAAGATGAACTTACAGGGGCTGGAGCGCACGGGTGATGATCGAGTGTCGCAATTTTCATAGGAATCCCATTTCATGATGGCATTGTCTGTTTCTTGCATCCCTTCCCTATGATGATGATATTGACGAGCATCGGATGACTCAGAACCGAAATGAAGTTCTACCCAGCCATCCAGGGGGAATCGCATATCTGTGTACCAGAAGGCACAACGCTGACAGATTGCATTGATTTCATACAATGAGACAAAAGAGAGGGAACCATCTTCCCATGAATTTCACATAAGTGAAATGAAAAAAGCATTTAAGGAGCACCGTTGAAATTACTCCAACAAATGGATGTACCGAAAACATGGATATGCTCACCATAGCAGGCATGATCGAGTTCGTGCCGCTTGAGGACTAGAAGAGAAGAATCGATGGCACAGGTATGGAACTGACAGCGGAAGATAACATCCCGGCCTTGCCCATCCTCCCTGAGATGATAACATTTCACGAGGACATCCCCATGAAGCCGGAGATTACCACAAGGAATGGAGAAAGACTTGGTATCCCCTGTCACACCTGTGACAGGGGAACTGATAAACACTGGACCCAGGCCCTGGTACACTTTCAGGAATGGAGTGGATCCCCCACGACTGGAGAATGCCGGGCATCCGACAACCACCACTCGATTCAGGTACAATGGAGATGAATTGATCCGGATCGAACCCGACAACAATCCCGAGAAGTACTCGATATACCTGAAACAAGATCATCGTGAAGCCAGATCGAGCAAGCCGACATCTAAAAATAACAAGAAATGTATACAGCAATCCCAGGTATAATCTGGGTTCGAATCAAGGTGAGATATGTGAGAGGGGGAAGAAATAGAAGGAGCACGGATCAGAGCCCAGGTTCCAAATTCTTGGCCTGGGATAATATAAACAATGAAGGAAGGAAAATAAGCATATCGGTGGCCAACACAAACAGCTCAGCTGCCTCGGCTCAACAATGATGAAGTCCTTCCAAGACACCGTAATTAGACAGGAGGAAGGCGCGCCACGAAATTAAACACTCGGGGAATGAACCACCTCGCTGGATGCGCTTCAAATGAGTGCGCAGAGCCTGATGAATGATGGCATTGCTGAAAACATTTTAATGGATGAATATGAGAGAGTGTGAAATTGGAGCGTCTTCATCCACCGGAAGCTAGAGATAATCGGTCACCAAATTACAAGAGTGGATGCTGACGAATTCGTAAGATTGATCAGCAAGTCAACGTAACTCTGAGGACAAAGAAGTATCAACTTGGCTTACCTCTTCTGGGAGGGCTGATCCAGTTGTTGGATTTTTGCATCGAAGTACCGCCGCATGGCGAACCTGTCTAATGAGTGCTCCCCGTTGCGAGGGCAGAGAGTGGAATAATGGAGGTAAGCTGAGAGCACGACTCCAGCTCGATCCCTCCATCCTCTGGAAGGAACAGAGAGAAATAATATGCACACGTGCTCAACAGGTTGCAAGTCATCATCGTCAGTGTTTATCACTCCTTGATTACCTGGAATGCAAAACAGCGACCCTGGTGGGAGAGGTTGAAGATGCTACCCATGTTTCTAGGGCTTTGCAGATCGAGCACAGCCTCCCTAAAGGAGGTGCCAACTCATCTGGCCATCCCAATTCTTCAAGGTTTTCTCCGAAGAATTGCTCCAATTCTTGACTTCTCTCCGACAGATTGAACACCTGCCACGAATCACCGATGTTTACGGAAATTTTCTGCTAGGAACTAATGCATTGCCGAGGAATGAAAGCCTCACCTTGAAGTTGTCACCATACTTCCCCTGAAGCATATGCGAGAGTTCTTCCAGTTTCCGGATGTAGAGTTCGTCGGAGATCTCTTTAGGGAAGAAAACACTGAGCACTCGTTCAGTGACATAATCCAATTCCATAGGCGCACGGGAGGTTCGAGATCGGATCTCAGCGCTAGGAGATGAGGGGAGAGATCTCTGACCTGGAGATCCTAAATACTCCCCCGTCCCTGCTCCTCTCTATAAACAACATAAAGAACACGTCTCCATTTTAGTCAAACATACACTTCCAAGGGTCTCGACATGCACAAGGCTAGCATGACGGAATACAGAAAAGCTTTAAGGCCCAAGTGTAGCAAGTACGCCAAAAACGAGTTTCCGCCTAATGTTTTGCTTTCATAGTATTCGAAGGCTTACCCTTTCTGTTGGAGATGAAACTTTTCTCTTCGCGACATCATGTTCCTGCTGTAAATAAGACATTTAAATAAAATAATTAATTGCAGAAAGTTACGGACTGGAAATTAATGTACAGTAGATGCAGGAAAGGGAACCTTAAAAAATTCAGATTTTAATCCCTAACTCTTTGTCAAGAGAACCCGCAAAAGCTTGATAGCCGATGTATGATACATCCACCCCTGGAGTCCGAAGAAACCAATGAATGACTGCGACACACATTGCGGGAGGGATAGAAACCTAGTAGGAGAGGGAAGTTGGCCTTCGGCCGCGGCGGGAGGGCTCCTTCAGCTCAGCTCTTCCAAAAGAGACTGGGATAAAAAGGGAAGGCCGTGATCGATCAACCAGCCTCTTCCTTCTTCTCTCATTCCCTATGAACGAGTAGAGTCTATGCATTTCACATGCCTGATGACTTGGCTTTCCAACATACAAAAGGGATCGATAGAGTGCCATTAACGAGATCATGCACGGAACATTTCCATTCGCCTCAGATATGAAGCAGCCCATGGAATCCCTCTAAAATTCCCCCCGAACCCATTTCGCACGAAATAAACCCAGATGAAGATTGATTTCGCTGCTCACCTTCTGAGAAGTCGATCAAAATTGAAACACTATGGAACATTTTGAGTGAAGAGATAAAATTATAAACAGAGGGAGTTCTGCACTTCCTGTCGCACACGCGGCCTATCACAGGAAGAACCCACACTCATTTCTAACCTCAAAGATACGGAATCATGACATGCGTCATGCAACAGGGTGGAGGCTATTCTTTTTCCATGGCTGTCGACTGCCCTGGAAGGCTCATGAGCCATGCAAATATGCATTATTTACACAACAGTGCTAATGATAAACTAGGACATTTGGGCATGCAGTGCAAGGACGTAGACGTGCGTGAGGCTTACCGAAACATGTGAAGAGGTGGCCAGTGAAGGGAAAGCAAGAAGATTCTGTCGCTGCCAATCATGGAAAATCTGGCGCGACGTATCTTTGAAGGACCGAACTGGTCTCGGTATACTATCACCACTGGATGCACTGGGAAGCTGAAAACGTACCGTATACACTGTCACATATAGAGTGTTAAAAAAAAAAAGCTCTATCCTTTTTCTATGGGGAAATGACCAATGACCATCCCTTCCCTGGGGGTATGACGTCGTGCCAGGGCTTTGCTAGTGGGATTTCATCATCATTGGAAAGTGCTACATCAGCAATATTTTAGCCATTCTCTTCATACCATTAAAAAAAATCGCCACGGATGAGATTGAACCCCAATGGTCGCAACACGTGCGACCTCACCTCTGTCCATCGCATCTTTACGAACCTTTCGACCTGGATGTATCAGTAGATACTCTTGGTACCTCTGACTGCAATTGTGTTTTGCTTGATTTAGTGGTCATATGACATCCTTTAGTCTTTGCTTCGGCATAGGATCCAAATCTTTCAGAGTGTGTCACAGTAAATCCAGAAATTAAGCCTACTATAACTTATAAGGTTCTTCTCCAATAAATATTATAATCTGACTTTTAATGAGATTACAATTTTATCCAAATCTCTTTATTCCTATGAAACGACGAATACAGAATTCGACAAATTAAGTTAAAGGCATTTTTAAAGCCAAATTATTAACCAGGATAGTTAGGATGATGATCAGTATAAGCCTTTGGAATACTTAATCAATTCAAATTGCATCTGGCCAATTTCGAACTGAAGGGAATCTTTCGAATTTCGAGTCAAATTCAGTTTCCTTTCCCCCATAGAAAATAGTTATATCTATTATTCCCCATAGGGAATCAGTGGAGCGTTTATTTTGAAACACCCTATACATGACCCAAGTCCTCTAGGCCTTCTTATCGCGAAAAGTCAACCACATCTTCCAGACTGGTACCGGAGGACGTACGGGATGATTGCGGTTTTATACAATGGACGGAATGATGTTAAGTATGCAAGGTTGTGAAGAATTTAGGAGATGCAAAATAATACGAATGCGAACCGTCGATTTGGCATAACCTACAGTATTTGAGTAATATTTCCTTGAATGAATTTGATTTATTTATAGTCTTGAAAAATTGGCTAATCATGAACCACGAGAGAAATTTCAGCAGGAAGGGGGAAAACCTCTAGTGAAAGGGGCAATGGACTCGATTTTACGTGGAAGCAGCAGTGAGGAACAAGAAGGCGTCTAAAGGCGACGCCATATTCTTAGATAAAGATCACTAGGGAGGCTACGGAATCACGGACGAGTTCATTCTCTGACACGGCGATGAATGGGAAACGAGTAAAAGTTCGCAGTATGGCATGCAAAAGGAGCGCCAGAGAGAAGTTGGGGCCCATTACAGACATCTGATCCTGGCCTCATCGTTCGGACCCCCGGCGCCCGCGTCAATATTTGCTAATCATCTCCAACAGAGATCGTATTCTCTCAATTTTGGATGGAACTGAAGGCTAGCGTGCCTTGGTTATCGTGGAATGGACACAGGAGCGAGAGAGTGGGTGCAAGTATAGAGATGGGAGACTTGGAGCTCCTCCATCTATGGGAATGGAGCACCAGGAAAAACAAACAACTTCCCAGGCCCTACCTGAGACTGTGGCCTGGAATGTGGCGACTCCGTCTCCAATCCTAACACATTGCCGCCTTCTTCCGAGACCTGAGACGTGAGAACGATGCTCGTGAGAAGCACAAATGGCATTTCTCTTGGGCTTCATCTTACTTCTATACCTTCTTCCCATTCTGATTCAAAAGAGGATCGTTCCATTTTCTGGATTGCTGACGACGATTATGTGACGTGATTGTAAAGCGTATCTTGTGTGTACAAAACGTGATGTGTAGCAGCATCATGTCTAGGCTATTGACTTGTTCAAGAGGAGTGCTTAGGACTGCGTGGGTGCTTTCTAACAAAGGAAATGTGCTGTACTTCGAACACAGTACTGCGGATCAAAAAATGCTGAGTTTTCCCTCCAATCTCATCTTGGGTTTGGAATTGGAATTGTCTTGAATTGGGATGACAGATAAAATCCTTCCATGAAACAGAGATCTCCCATCCTCTGCTTGAAAGGCATAGGGCCAAGAAACGTCTCGGTTTTGCTTCGCCTGATGGTGGTAAATGTCAAAGGGGAAGCTGCAAGTATGAAAACGTGGAAAATATATCATTGCTGGAATCCATAACGAAAAGGATATCTACCCAAACGATATTGGATGGAAAGCTGCAATAAATGGCTTATCTGTAGGCACTGAAAAAGTCTTGGAACAACAGGCCAAAAGATAGTACCTTCTATTCCGAGGATGCGTCTTGCCTTGAAACGTGACAGCTGTCTACATATCTACTTCCTGTTCCATTGAGGTCAAACGCGAGAATTTTTACACTTCAACAAGGGCTTCCCATGAATACTTTCAGTTATGTCCAGATGGAGTAGTAAAATGACTCGCGGAAAAGTATGAATCCATGAAGTTCAGAGCTAAGTCTAAATGCACACGCCATTCTCCCATCTCCGTCTGTCTTCGGGTGGAGATAAAGCACGTGACGGTGACTGACCTGTGGTTGCCCCTTGTGCGGCCTGGCAAGGGTTGTCCAAGACCGGAACCACTTTTTAACCATGAGACCACGAGAACGTTCGCATTCACATCGAGAGAGGAAGGAGGGGAGAAGATGGAAATGTCGGCGTGCCTTGGGTCGCCCGTTCTCTCGAATACACACACATACACTCAGTTCCAATTATAACGCCGGCTGGGCCGTACACACATGGAGAAGACGAAGTCTCCGTCTTTCCCGCAATGGCCATCCTCCATGCTTCGCTCACTGTGCTCAGCCTCACGCAGCTGAAGGCGGAGGAGCAAGCAAAGCAACCGTGTGGGGGAGATGGACTTCTCGAATGGAAATGCGGAAGCTCGCCCCGCTTTTCACCGTATATGCGATACATGTGCATCTGGGCCAGGCCAATACCAAACAACCATTCGCCCCGACAAGGCTATCTCTCATCAGTTGACTTCCAGTCGACCATGAAATAATAAAAAAACGGGATCTTCACTTAACCGTCATTAGTCCCATTATAGTCAGCGTCCTGGTCGCCCACACGTAGGAGACGGCCAACTGAGATACACTTATCATGATGGGATGGGTGCACAATGCCCTGGCCTTATTTGAACAGATCCACCTACGACCGACCCGACCGAATGATGCAGCCCTCCTCGGATCCATCGATCCAGGATAGGGAAGCTTCGTTTCCCCAGCCGGAAATTAACAGGTTCATTATGATATGACTATAGAAGAATGGCGCACCTCGCCCATTTTTCTCAAACGAAACCAACGCCGGACACCACTAGTCCCCATAGGTCATGGATATGGAGTCATGCATTTCACTGGAGGAGCGACATTTTTGCCGATGACGCATGCTACATAATTTTCGCTTTGCATAGCGCTTCCGGGGCTTGGTTCCAGTAACGTCACGGAGTTTGCAAATGAAAAAAAAAAAATGCATGCTATTGTTCGCGAGAATTCGGACCACCCAGAATGCTCATATCTGGGTGTTCAAGATGATGTTCGGGCATAAATGGCAGATGGGATAGAAAATAGAAAAAAAAAAAGAATCACAGAGATTCGTGCTCTTTCCGAATTTCCCCAACTGGACATGTGCATCACGATGTCTTTAACCTCTCTAGCTAGAACTATCCAGATTTTTATGCATATATTGTCTGGACAACTCGCATCCTCTCTTGTGCTACTCCGCAATGAGACATTACAAACTCAGTGCTTCTCGGAAACCGCGAGGATGGGAAGCTTGACAAAGATAGAAAAGACCGCCCAGATAGCACGGTAGTTCCCCGTTGTCAAGGGTACATATATAAATATATACGAAGGGTAATCAAAAAGTTTCCGGCTCAATATGGAAGCAAGACCGTTTCAGGAAGCATGGCATCACTGCAAAAGTAAATGTGAACACGAGGTGCTCATACCATCACTCTCTGACGTTCCTTTCTATTTTCCAGTCACTTCATGATCAGAGTCCGTTATGACAGTGAAAGTCTACAAACTTTAAGGGTATCGTGAAAAAATATCTGACATGCTTACCCAGACTGTCAGATTGGACATTTCAGAAAATGTCTGACAAGCCCAGAGGATCATGATGTACATTTATTTTAAGCACACATTTTTTAATTTCTACAAATTTCTTCAGTTTCACATCCATCCAGCATTCAGATAAAAAAAGTGAATCTCGAACACGGGTGGAAATGCCAGAAAATGAGTACATCTGCACTCAGTGCTCGCATAAGATAAACTTCCGGGTGATATCATTATGTTTTCCTGAAACTCCCTTTCTTCCATATCAGGCGGGAAAGTTTTTTCATCTGCCGTTAGACCGACTCGAGCTGTTAATACAGTCTCCTATTTTATTTTATTGCCTATTGCAAATACCAAATCAAGAGAACATCATGATTCTTGCTGAAGGCTTTTGCTTGGTAGGCATGCTCTAAATGCGGTCAGGCATTCCTGCAACACGCTTGATCGATGCTGTGTCTTCTGCATGTTCGAATGTTGTGTAGGTGACCTCAGCCGATAACAAAGACGTACTTTTTGCATTATTGCTAGAACCGGAACTCAAGTTGATTTGTCAGTATCCATGATACAATATCATGACACCATTTGAAGTCCTTCAACGTGCCTAGAGATTGATTCGAATGCAAACGTGAGCGTGCAAAGGAAATACAAAGATGCAGGATACTGAACGACGTGACAACGGGAATGGCCCTGCCTATGCGGGTTCAGGGAAGGGAATATTCGTAGTTGGGGAGGCCGGAAGAGGGCGGAGGTGAATTTCCCGGCACTTATCTCTCCACTGGGGTGGGAGGGGTCCACGAAGAGACAAAAGAAAATGAGATCAAGTCACTGAGAAATCTGTGTCACTGAAAACCCATACGTCATCATTATTCCATGATGACCTATTCAGTCCCCTCGCACTGTCATCGAATCCGCCGGTCGAATCATTCGATGGGTTATAACATAACTTCGCAGCCAGCCTGTAAAGGAAACTATGGCTGAACTTTGAACCCAGAATATCGCGTTCCCTCAGATTTCAATTGATGCCGACAAGATATTTAGCGAGGAACTTCTAATTACTTGTGCCGACATGCAAATTTATGCAAATTGTGGATGTGGAATGCGTGATGAAAAGTTCTCACCGTCAATACCATAGGATGCCCTGCTTTCTTGTTTGCCAGCATGATCGAAATCGGTGATGGCTTAATATTCGTTCTTTACTCGTGATCAGCTGACTGCACCACGATTGCAAGAAACTCGGTTCGCAAGTGCGAACCGAACATCGATTCATGATAAATATCTGTCCCTGGCATAGAGTTGGTATGTCAGTCTATCGAAAACATGCATGCAAGTACATTGGGATGGCATTTTGCAGCCCAGTCTACAGTAACATGATAAAGTGTCGTTTTTTTAAAGGTAGAACTGCTCCCTATCAGTTCCAAAGCTAAAACAACCAACGATCAGGAAAGAAAGACTCATACTACATGGAGGGGGAATACCTGTGGGCAGGAAAGAGGCCCGTTGATGCGAAGGGAGGGATCTTCCATGGGAAAAGTTGGGAGTAACGCAGAACCACAGCATTGAAGGGAACCGTTATCCTAAACCTGGCACTCACACAGCATAACGTGAGATAAGGCCACGAGGAGATATCATCGTGTAGAATGACTCATGTTTTCGGAACTATTACACCCTGGCCGAGGGTAACACTCCTGAAGAGGGGATCCGAGATAAGTCACCGGGAAGTAACGGAAATATATTAAGGCACGGTACTAGGCATGGAGTGAAGTAGAAATGCCTCGAGGTGAGATCCCGCCAAAGTCGCACGGGCACGAACTCAGCTGGCGGGCAAAGCGGGAGAAGGGAGAGAGAGCTTGGGAGTTCGTGAGCCCCCTGCTCGGAAAATCTTCCTCTATTCGTTCCAACCATCTGGTTCGTCTTCTCTCACTACCGATCACTCACGACCACCGATTCACGATTTCTGTTTAAAGATCGCTTCTCCGGGTGAAAAAGAAGCGGGAGACCCGATTCATCATGGGATGGGCCACCCGTGCCACGAATACAAAGGGGTGAAAAATTCTTGCGGTTATGTCACGAGAGGGAAAGTGAGTCAGACGAGGAATAGGGACAGGGTCAGCCAGGGCTGGCTACATACTAAACTGGTACGGGGACACCGACCTTCCATTACCATCTTGCCACTCACCGACACCCCGGTGTGAAAATCTGAAGGAAAGAAGTCCCGAGAGAAACAAAAGATGCAAGCATACAAGCATACATTCAGCGAAGGCAAAACAAAGTGAAGCGGGTGCGAAAAAAAAGTTCCCACGTTTGCAATTGGTTCTTATGTTAACTAATTCCACATGCTTTCTTTATTCTCCATCTTTCATAAGCATACTCCCAATAAAAATACAAAAAAACAGTCCTTGTTACGGGCAAACCGTCCTGCAAACGTGCAACATGGAAGGGAACTTGTCCACATTCAAAGTTTTGACAAGGAAAGCTCAGACTCACCTTCGGTTCGCAAACTTTGTGGCAGGAATATTTGCACACTAGAGGGAATAGCAGTGGAGAAAACATGTAAGGGAAAACTATGGTGTCGAGAACGTGCTCCATAATGACAGACTTACGAGCAGATGAGATCAACTTACCTCGGCAACAGC